CATCAACTATCTTCAAGTACTCATACAACTATCTCCCTGAGTTCAGTATGTGCTATTTTGCATCTTGAAGTACTAAACTATCTTCATAAATTATTGACAATACATTTTTCTATTTGTCCCAGTGTTGTTGTCAAATAAGTTGAATGTGCTTATATAATTTGGAAAATAAATTGACCAATTTTAGAGTTACTTAATTATCTTTACAAATGTTATTATTAGTACTTTCATTTCATTAGGCATCAAACACGAACAGTTGGAATATTGAAGACAATAGGACTTGTTTTGTTAACTTTAATCAAACGATCATTATTGCCTCGCTGTTTTTAGAAGGGTTTTCTATACCCTTTTATTGTATCATCAAACTCTATTCTTGCTAATACAAAACCCCAGGTAATCTGGAAAAAGTTCATAAAAAATATAAAATATAAAAAAGATTCAAAACATAATAATAATAATAAATTCCTTCATTAATACGACATTGGGGTTGATAACATCACCAATACTAACTTGAAAAATAAAACCATCAACATAGGGGCCGGGTAGAAACTTCATAGACGAACAAACACATAATAAAAAAAGAAATGAAATAAATCTTCATAATGCATGGACTACTCAATATGCGGTTCACTGAAAGGAGACTTTGAGGTCTTGGAGGCAGACTCGGGTATCACTAGTGATAAACAATGATAGAATTGCTCTTAGCTCCACTATGGACGGATGGTGTGGGCATATCGTCAAGCATAGTTATAGATCGAAGTAAGGGGATGCTCTTCCAACATGACACTCTTGAGGTAATCAATGCTACTATCACGAACCACCCTCTCAATCAACTCTGTAACCTCACGCTTCAGCTTGGTGTAATCACGCTTCAGATCTTGGTACAAATGTTATGACTCACAGGTGAGCCATGCAGCGGTTGTTCAACATGTTTCTTTGTCGGGTCTTATCCATCGTTATGCTTAGTAGTATTTCTAGTTTGATTGTCTTATGTAGGTCTAGCATATTTTTCAGAAAAATATATAGGGAGGATTATAATCTCTTTCCACTTCCCGGTAGGAATTAAAGTCTCTTTGTAGAGACCCTATGCAACCATTACACTTCCCAATAGCAGCCCCTTCCACTCCTCCATGCATCCATTGCACTACCCAGTAGCCTCTTACACTCCTTCATGCAACCATTACACTTTCCAGTAGTATATTTCACTCCTCTATGCACCATTACACTCCTCAATGACTATACAGATTGTTTATACAGATTGTTTTCGTTTTATTTTATTTTTTAAAATTCTGCCATATAGTGGAAGTGCACTTCATAGGTTTTATCTCATATAGTCTTACCTTAGAAGACTTGATTAATCCATGTAAAGATTGTATAATTGGCCCACGTGAGTATTTTTGGTTTAATATAAATATATTTTTTGATTAGGTTTAGGTTTAGGTTTAGGTTTACGTTCTTTTTTGATTTAGGTTCGTTTAGGTTTACGTTAGGTTTAGGTTTTGACTAATGGAGCAAATTAATGTCGATTTTTAAACTTTTTTTGGAAAAAAGAAAATAATC